CCCCGTCTTCAAAAAAAAAATAAAAATAAAAAATTAAATATATCTGCTGGCTAGAGTCGTATGAAGTCCATAGCAATAACGATCTTGTCGACAAAGGCTTTTAAGTATCCCCAAACTCCTAGCACCGCCACCTCCGTTCCCTCGCCGCTCTCCGCCGCGCCGTCGGCCTTCTACTCCTCGTAGCACTCTCTCCACCGCCGTTTTATTTGTAAGAACTCTATCTATTCATAATTCCCAATCTCCAGGTGATGCGTGAATGATTAATGTTTTTTTTTCTGTAATAGTTTTGTATGTCCTTTCAATCGTATTCGAATATTAATGTTTTCTGTACTATATGTATGTAGACAAGTTACTGAATCTCTTTCTGCTGGTGCATTTGGTAGGTTTACTGTTTGATGACTGGCCTCTCAATGTTTTCAATAACAGAGACTATGGGCAAAAGGGTTAAGTAGTAACAGCTCCATTGTTCTAGAATGAGGATGCTCCTGATTAACCGAGGTCGTTGTCTAAAAAATGTTTTCTTTTTTCTTCTTTACTGTCGATTAACTGTATTTTATTAAGCTAATGAACAAATTGTAAAGATATTTTCACATATTTTTTCCAACTCCTTGAATTCGTCGCCATTTGTTTTGTATTTCTGCTTTATCGGGACGGGGAGTATGAAATTGTTGTATTATATTTAACTACTTCCATTTTGTTTTGTTTTTTCAGAATATTTAAGTATCTCTCGCTGCTTTAACATGTTGCTGCAGGGTTATTATATAAGTCCCAGCTCAAATCCTTTCACCTGCATAAGTTTTGTAAGAGATTCACGTTTTCAGATAACGGACCCTCCGATGTGCTAAAGGGGTCTGTTTCTTTTGTTAATATGGGAAATAACAACCCCTCCGATGAGGGAGAAAGGGCCGTTTGTTATGCTATTGCAGGAGGGGGTCAAAGTTCGAGAGGATTTGGAAGTGTTAGACAAGGGGTTGATAATGTGATTCAAATTCTACAGAGTGGTCCTTGGGGACCTTCCATAGAGAAATCTTTGTCTTTGTGTGACGATAAACCCAATACAGATATGGTCATTGGTGTCTTGAGGAGGTTGAAGGACATTGATTTAGCTGTGAACTATTTTAGGTGGGTTGAGAGGATGACTGATCAAGTGCACTGTCCGGAAGCATACAATTCACTCCTTAAAGTAATGGCCAGGAGTAAGAAACTTGACTGGTTTGAACATGTTTTGGCAGAAATGAATCTCGCTGGATTTGGCCCATCTTTTGAAACTTGTGTGGAGCTAGTGTCCAGCTTTGTGAAGAGTCAAAGACTGAAAGAAGCCTTTGATCTTATCCAAACGATGAGAAAGTTTAAATTCCGCCCGGCATTTTCTGCGTACACAACTCTTATAGGTGCACTATCTACAGTTCATAAGCCCGATAGCCCGGATCTCATGCTAACCCTCTTTAATCAGATGCAGGAATTAGGATATGAAGTTAGTGTACATTTGTTCACAACTTTGGTTCGTGTATTTGCCCGGGAGGGCCGAGTTGATGCTGCCCTCTCCCTGTTAGATGAGATGAAGAGCAATTCCTTTGATGCTGACATTGTTCTCTATAATGTGTGTATAGACTGCTTTGGCAAGGTTGGCAAAGTAGACATGGCTTGGAAATTCTTCCACGAGATGCAATCCCACGGCCTCACACCTGATGATGTGACCTATACTAGCATGATAGGAGTACTTTGCAAAAGTAATAGACTGGACGAAGCTGTTGAGTTGTTTGAGCAGATGGAGCAGGATAGGACTGTTCCCTGTGCATATGCTTATAACACAATGATCATGGGTTATGGATCTGTTGGAAAGTTTGACGAAGCCTATAATTTGCTAGATAGGCAAAGATCAAAGGGGTCCATACCAAGTGTGATAGCTTATAATAGTCTTCTTACTTGCCTTGGGAAGAAAGGGAAGGTAGAAGAGGCATTAAGAATGTTTGAGGAGATGAAAGACAATGCTATGCCTAACCTTTCTACATATAACATTCTAATAGACATGCTCTGCAAGGCTGGAAAACTTGATGCTGCTTTTGAAATTCAGAATGCCATGAAGGTAGCTGGCTTGGTTCCGAATGTAATGACTGTTAACATCATGATTGACCGATTGTGTAAGGCTAACAAACTTGACGAAGCATGTTCTATTTTTGAAAGCATGGATCATAAAGTCTGTATCCCAAATAAAATTACATTTTGTTCTCTGATAGATGGCTTGGGTAGGCACGGCAGAGTAGATGATGCTTACAGATTATATGAACGAATGTTAGATTCTGATTTAATACCAGACGCAATTGCATATACATCCCTCATAAAGAACTTTTTCAAGACTGGCAGAAAGGAGGATGGACACAAGGTCTACAAGGAAATGGTCCGGCGAGGCGTTTCTCCTGACCTTACACTACTTAATACCTATATGGATTGTGTATTCAAAGCTGGTGAAACAGAGAAAGGCAGAGCTTTATTTGAGGAGATTAAGGCTCGATTTTCTCCAGATACACGGAGTTATTCAGTACTAATCCATGGCCTCATAAAAGCAGGCTTTGCTCGTGAGACATATGAGCTATTCTATGCAATGAAGGAACAGGGATGTGTACTGGATACTCTTGCGTATAACACTGTAATTGATGGATTCTGTAAATCAGGTAAGGTTAATAAAGCTTACCAGCTTCTAGAGGAGATGAAAGCAAAGGGCCTCCTAACTACTGTGGTTACTTACGGTTCTGTTATTGATGGACTTTCTAAGATTGACAGGCTTGATGAAGCCTACATGCTCTTTGAAGAAGCAAAAGCAACTGGTGTGGAGTTAAATGTAGTGGTGTATAGCAGTCTTCTGGATGGATTTGGGAAGGTGGGTAGAATTGATGAAGCATATCTAATTATGGAAGAAATGATGCAAAAAGGTTTAATGCCAAATGTTCAAACATGGAATTGCTTGCTTGATGCACTTGTGAAGGCAGAGGAAATAGATGAAGCCCTCGTCTGCTTCAATTCGATGAAAGACTTGAAATGCACACCCAATGCCATAACATATAGCATACTCATAAACGGGCTCTGTCGGGTTCGGAAATTTAACAAGGCCTTCGTGTTTTGGCAAGAAATGCAAAAACAAGGGATGAAACCCAATACAATCACATACACCACCATGATATCTGGGCTTGCCAAGGCTGGTAATATATTGGAGGCCGATAAACTCTTTGAGAGGTTCAAAGGAAATGGAGGTATACCTGATTCTGCTTGCTATAATACTATGATAGAAGGGTTGAGCCTTGCAAATAAGGCAATGGAAGCATATCAGTTGTTTGAAGAAACACGGTTGAAGGGTTGTAATATATACACCAAAACTTGCGTAATACTTTTGGATTCATTACATAAAGCTGAATATCTCGAGCAGGCAGCAATTGTGGGTGCTGTATTGAGAGAAACGGCCAAGTCACAGCATGCAGTAAGATCCTCGTAACATTATGAGTGTCTTATTGTCAATGATAAAGTTAGCGTTTCACTTTGGTTTTTGTACCTCTCGACTAGCCAACAAATTATAAGTGGATGGGCTAACACTGGCTTGTGAACATTCATTATACCAGCAATTCTGTCAAATTATTGCACTCGGTTCCCATGGAAGAACGTTTTAGTCCATTTTTCAGATATCACAAATTCGCTTCTCATTATCTGTTGACCGTCTTCCCTTGTATCTTCATTGATATCTCCTGTTAAAATAGTTAAGAACTCGAACTTTGTGTTCTACAGCTCCTAGTCAGTCCACATTCTCGTTGTCTGACCATACAGAAGTACATGCATAGACATTACACATATTCAATACCATACATCCTTTGCAAGACCATGGGAATAGATGGACCAATAGACGGTCTCACATTTCCTTCTTTTCTGGGGGTTGCATGGGGCGTGGGGTGGGGGGCTCAGGGTGATCTCCCTTTTTGTGGGAAACCTTGCATGTTTTGGAGTTGTTTCAGTTGGCCGCATGCTGTCATGCTTCCATCTCTGCTCATCTGCGGGATGGTAAACACTCGAAGAAAAGTTTGTCTGTTGTTGGGAGTCAAAGTTCGAGAAGTTGGTGTACGAGGAGTCTCACTACTAGCCTTTCATTTGTATCAAACATTTCTTGTAATTTCTTTATTTATACCTTCAATAATTGCATGCTAGCAGGCGTGCACACACAAAAGAGTATTTTTGTTGTCAATTCTTTATGCTTCCCAGGAATAATTTTATGAACTTTTAGACGGCATCATTTGTAATGTTTCTTGAAACTTTCTTGTTCATGAGCTGGTAATTGAACTTATGCAGAAATTTCTTATGCTTTTGTTATTGCGAATGGGCATTCATTCTATTTGATTAATTTTAAACCTAGAATACAAAAATTTGATTCGGCGACACAATATGACACTGCATTTTTATGATTGCACAGTTGAAAGCATGTAGGATTAATATGGTTGGACCGTCCTGTTTGGCTCAGATTTTAATTTGAGTCAAAGTCAAATAATCAATATTAATGATATTCTTTGTAAGTTTAACAACTTTTCAATCACACATTTCAAAAACTTTTATCAAAATATATTAAAAATCTAATTTTAATTCTCACTAAATAGAAAGAACAATCCACCAAGTTTTATCATATATCTGGTAGAGGTATCACAAACAAAATATAAAGACACGGTCAATGATAATAGGAATAGTTATTCATTAATTCGTAGCAAAAATTGGAAGAAGAGCTAAGAGAAACATACTATGATCAGATTTTATTTTCTTTCTAATTGAACTCTGAACTCTTATAGTCAAACTTGATATACCTAATGTGAAAATTACATTCTTACCTACTTTTCAAGATCAATATTTAAAAATCATAATGAAGGTTTCATTGTTCAAAAATCAGATATTTAAAATATTAGATATTATAATACAAATTTTATCCGGTCTTAATTTATTTTCATTTTCCTCTCTCTCTCCATCTCGCCAGCTCGCCCCCCTCTCTTCCTCTCTCCTCTCATCAATTCAAACTTCGACAGCTAGCGATGGAACTACTCTGGCCAACACCACACCACAAGCGCCCGTCGTCGTGGGACAAGCGGCCAGTGGTGCTAGTGCACTCATCATTGTAGATATGCAAGCGGCGCTGTCAATCTCCCCTTTCTTCCTACCTTTTTTTTTTGAGTGGAGCGTGGTTGGCAGTTTGGTGGAGGTGTGCTATGTGGTGGTGGTAATTGGTGTGTGCGGTGGTGGTGGTGATTCAGTGTTGTAGCATTCAATTATTTGGATTCGATTTTGTTTGGTGGCTATGGGGGTGGTGGTCGTTTAATCCCTAATTTGTGTGGTGGAGATGGTGGTTGCGATGGTGACTGATGATGATGGTGGTGGTTGATGTGGCGATCGATTGTGGTGGTGGTCGCTGTAATGACTGATGTTGATGGTGGTCGTTGCGGCAACGATGGTGGTGGCTCCAGTGGTGCCGTTTCTCTGTTGTGGTGATGAATCTGTTGGTGTGTTGTGGTGTTGACAGTTTGTCATGAGGTGGTGGTAATGTCACAGTGATGGTGGTTGTGGTGTTGGGAAGAAATGTGGTTGGATGCTTGTGACTAATTATTTGGTTGATTGTGATTAATAATTGATTAATTTATAATATGTGATCTAAAAATTGTGACTGTAACTCCCAATTGATTAAATTGTGTCCAAAAAATTAATCATGGCCAATTAATCCATTAATTTGCAATGAATAAATGAGTTGTGATCAATAAAAATTTTGATTTTGTGACCAATGAATAATTTGTAAACTATAAAATTCTTGATTCATGATCAAAAGATAATATGTAACTTATAAAATTTTTAATTTGTGATCGAGAAATAAGTTGTGACCAATAAATTGATAAGCTGTGATTAAAAATTAATTCGTGACTAATTAATTTTTTGATTTGTAATCAACAAACAAACTGTGACTTACAAAATTTTTAAATTGTGATCATAAAGTAATTCGTGACGTAAAATTTCTGATTTGTGACCAAAAAATAATATATCACTAGCTAAATCGTTAATTTGTGACAAAACTGTACAGATAATGTAACCTAAATAGATGTAATTAAAAAAAATAAATAATTAATTAATAATAATAAAAAACTGATTTTTAAAATTTGAAACTTGTTTTTCTTGATTTTGAAACGTGCGATATTTAAACTCCTACTTATGAAATTTTACCTTAATTGTAAACGCAATTTAGAACCACTGCATGACCCTTCGAGGCACGACCCCAACGTCATAAACTTTCTTGGCCCACTCCTTATATATTTATTCTCATTACATAATTCTTATACTATGCTATCTGAAAGAATAATGCTCTTTGAAATTATATATATGGCACTTAATAATTCGATGCACGAACTAATAAAAAAATACCATATTAATGCATCAAATCACTTACCGTCACATATATGCACGTAGGACGACTATGATAGTGAGCGACTGTAAATAACATTACCCTGTTTGAAAATATTCTTCTTATTGAGACTTTATTTGACAAGGATACAAAGGAATAATAGAAGGGAAAATTGTAATAGCGGTCCCAAATTCTTGAATTTTAACGATCCCAAACCTTTGAAAAATTAGTACTTGAAGTCCAAACGATCCATCCATTTATCTGATAATTGACAAAGAAAGTATTTTGAACAAATTTTTAGAGGGTAAAATGATAATTTCCTCATTATTCCACATAAAATAATTAAAACAAAAAGAAAAAGAACAAAAAAACCAAAAATAAAAATAAAAATAATAATAATAAATTAATAGTTCATCTTCCCCAACCCATTCAGCCCCACTCATCCCAAACCCCTACAGGGCCATATTGGCCTTCTAAACCATTATAATCCGCACGTTTTGGCAATTATGCTATAGGAACATATTCGATGATAGTCATTTAAAAACAAAAATAGTTGAGATTTTTTCATTGACAATTAAAATTAAAGAAAAAACTACCAATTAACATATGACACTTCATTTCTTGGAAAAAGTTCCTATCTTTGACCCCCCGCCCCCCCCCCCCCCCCCCCCCAATTTTTTTTTTTTTTTATTTCTCTCCATTTTTCGTTTCCTTTCAAATCTCAACTTGCCTTCCAATCATCTTCATTTTCACCAAACCCACCATTGTAATTATTTATTTCCTTGATTAGTTTTTATTTATAAGCCTTGATTCGTTGTTTGTTTTGGATTATAATTGATTTGGGAGTGAAGATGGGTCCGAACATGGTGCCAATGGTGGGAACAACTCCGTCGGCGACGGGGATGGGGACGTTCGCGCTGACTTCTATGGTATGGGTGAAGGGTAGCAAAACCTATTTTAGTCAATCCGAATTCCTCTTTGTTTCAAGAACAACTTTAAAAAGAATAACGAGGAAACAAATTTAAAACACACAATCCTATTTGATTCTCATTTTTATCAAAATACATTTTTCTTTATCTTTTTTGGAACTTAACATTCTTTATTAAAATAAAATTATCCATAAGTAAAAAAACTTTTTCGTATTTTTATCTACACATTCTCCATCAATCTGCTATTTTAAAATTTATTTTTCCAAACACCCTCTAAATTTGATCAAAATACATTTTCTTGGTCATGTGCTAATTTTTCAAAAGTTTGGGATCGTTGGTGGTACAAACTGAAAGTTAAGGTAAAATCTACAAAAATTCGAAGATTTGGGATCGCTGCTACAATTTTCCCACAATAGATAAAGGTCGATTTTAAAAAGTGACCGTTGTGAATAATAATTGTATTTCCCTTTTTGCCCATTCCATGAAAATTCAAATTCACAAATGACCGTTGCCCAATCTTTTCACTTTCTTCTTCTTAAATCCCTCCTCTCGGAATAGCCATTTTCATCTCTCTCTCACTCTCTATATCTTCAAAGTAGTAGTTGAAGTCTCAAGGAAACTTTCAAGAAAATGGCATTGAGGCCGATTGATAATGCATTGCCCATAACGGCGGAACGACCCAAAAAGCAAGCCAAAATCTCCGCTCCACCCCATAAGGAGAAGCCCAATTTCGGTGTAAACGATGAAAACAATGTGCCTATGCCACCACCCATAACTGCAGATTCCTCCATTGACTATGTCCCCTCAGAAAATCTGAAACCCTTCCCTGATCCAGATATTAAAATTCAGGTACTTTTATTTTTTTCGCCTTTTTGATGAATTTTCTGATATAGAAATTCTTCAAGAAACAGATACTTCTGATTTTTATGTTTGTTTTTGTGTTTACTTATTTGAAAATTTTCAGGGTCTTGTTGGAGGGTTAGAGTCAAAAGATTGGTTGAAGGTTTGTGAATCACTGAATGATGCTAGACAGTTGGCACTTTTTCACTCCAACATCTTGCTTCCAGTTTTGTAAGCCTCCTCTTCTTTTCTAGAGCACATTTGGATCTGCTTAAAAGCACCATTTTAAGGTGCTAGCATAAAAAAATGATGCTTTAAGCGGGTTAAATATGCTATTAATTTACTAATTCAGATTTTATGAAGTCAAATTGGGATTTGCATTTGTTAATGAATATGGGGATGTAGGGAAAAGGTGATGCTGGTTATGGTGAAGGCTATTAAGAATCCAAGAAGTGCTTTGTGCAAGACCTCTATCATGGCTTCCTCGGATATCTTCAAGGCCTTGGGGGAAAAATTACTTGAACCGGCGATCTCTAACATCTTCGACAATTTGGTACATAATTATACATAATTTTGCCTTTTTCTTGGATACATTCTGCTCAAGTATAGGCTAAAGTTTTGTTAAATGCTTGTAGAGAATTGCATAAAATAATATTGACATTTTCAGCCTAAATAATGTCCATGGGTTGTGATTTTTTCTTGGATAAACATTGTTAGTTAATAATCCTGATAAATTATTATGATAAATTTTTGTTTTTTTCTGTTTAAGATTTGAATACACGATTTAATTTTCAGCCCACATATTGTTTATGGATTGTACTTTTTCTTGGATAAATATAGTTAGATTCTAATCTTGGTTAGTATAGGATAAACTTTTGTTTATGAATTGCTATTGAGGTCTCTGATGTAAGATTTGCACCCCCCATCTCTACCCCTTCAGCTGTTGCAACTATTGCTGAAAGGTTCTCAAGACAAGAAATTTGTTTGTGAAGAAGCAGATAGGACACTGAAGACAATGGTGGAATCCATGAGCCCTCTTCTTTTGCTTCGTAAACTCCGGGCCTATGTCGGCCACTCTAATCTCAGAGTCAGAGCAAAAGCTGCAGTTTCAATTTCTAACTGTGTATCTAAGATGGTAAGTAGTGTATGAACGTTCAAGAGAATTTAGGGTCGACTGCATGAATCCCCTTTTCTTCACTTTGTTCGGCTTTTGGGGATATATTGTACTAAAAAAACGTGTGATTTTTAGGATTTGGAAGGGATGAAAGAATTTGGGCTGGCTGAACTGATTCAAACTGCTGCAAATTTGTTAAATGACAAACTCCCGGAGGCAAGAGAGGCGGCTCGAAGTATTGTGATTTCTTCATACGAAGCACTTGTAGAGAATGAAGAACAGAAGCAAGAGTCTTGGCAAAGCTTTTGCCAGTCTAATCTTCCAGCAATTCATGCTCAAGCAATAGTCAAAATTCCTCTTAGTGGGAAAATGGAACCATACCTCGATTTGTGATAATCTTTTCTGTATTGTTCCAATTTTAGTAGACGTCCCCCAAAAGACCCTATTTTAGTTGGATTTGTTTTAACATTGAATTTGGAAGTAGCATCTATTTAGCTTATGCTCTGAAGATGAATTTAGGATTCCTTCATGTAAATAACATGTTTTACATGATTTGTATGTGAGGAAAATAGTTTACTATTTGGTGGTATATGATCAATTCCCTAATTCTTAAATTTGCTGTTCGCCAGACTATGAAATACTGTAATGTTATATTCTCCAATAAATCTAGATCAAGTTGCTGACACAAACAAGGAAGCACTGAATCTCTCCATCATTAGTCAACACAATCCGTTCATCTAAAATAGCATCAATTTTATTTTTATGTGCCGTGACACGTGATATTGAAGTAGGAATAGCAACAGATTTTCCATTGATAGAAGGTAGAAAAAGATCAACGGAGGGACTAAAACGGCCATTGCAAACAAATAAATTTGATATTGAAAGTAGAATGGTACCCGAAATGTGATGGATCAATGCCATGTGCATTTGGACCAACAGATTTTAAAATTTTAGAAGGACCAGCACCACGAACTTACAACTTAAAAGCAGATCCAGAAGGATGTTATTTCGATCTAATTCGAATTATAACATAATCCTCAAAATTAAATTAAACATGTCATTTATGCAAATCAGTTCAAAGTTTATATGATGCATCACTTACTTATTGATCAAGTTGTTTATTGATCTCAATATGCAAGTCGTGGAGATTTTATACAAATGCCTCAGCTGACATAGACACACTAGTACGTGATGACATATGAATAAAGTTTAAAAGCTTCCTAGGTTTATAAATATAAACAACTTCAAAAGGACCCATACCTAAAGACCAACTCACAGAACTGTTATAAGAAATCTTGGGATGTAGGGAGGATTAAAGCCTAATTCCTCTGATTTCCTAAACTAGACACCTTATAGATTACGAAGACTACGATTAACAACTTCATTTTGAATATCAGTCTGAAGGTGATATACAGTGGATAATTTTAATTTAGTGACCCACGTGCCACAAGGTTCTCCAAAAGTGATGAACTGAACATCCATAACAAAGACAATGGTCTCGAGAAGGCCATACAGCTCAACAATCTCATTAAAGTACAATTAGGCAACCTAAGGCGCATCAGAAGTTTTGTTGTAAGGGATAAAGTGGGTCATTTTCAAGAAACAATCCATTATAACAAAAATAGAGTCATGTTTCTTGGAGTACATGGGAGTCCTAACTCAAAATTCATACTGACATCTTGCTAAAAACAACTAAGGACTGGAAAAGGCATGTAGAGACCAGTGTTTTACCTCTTTTGTTTGGACAACTGATAGGTGTGCTAACTATCTTAGCACGTCTGTCTTCAAACGAGGCCAATAAAATTGACGTTCAATTTCCTCGATGCTCTTATCTCGTCCAAAATGTCTGGTCAAGCCTTTGTAGTGACTTTCCCAATCTATAAAATCTCGTACTGAGGTCCGAAGGATAAACAACTTATTGGACCAAAAAAGATATCCCTCCTCAAGATGGAAACCATAAGTAGTATCCGACTACCCCACTTCGCAAGGTAAAAAAATCTCTTTAAAATTAGGATATGACTTGTATTATTCCTTAAGTATTTTAAAACCTATGACTTTAACACTTATGATAGACAAAAGGGAAATACGATGGCTTAAAGCATCAGCTGCTTAGTTTTCAATGCTTTTCTTATGATTCAAAACAAAAGAATAGGCTTGTAAATATTCAATTCAGTGACTATACATAGAAGTCAACATTTTCTGAGAATTCAGGTAATGGAGGTCTTTGTGATCTAAATAAAGGACAAATTCCAGGGGTAATAAGTAATGATGCCAATACCGTAAAGTCTGCACAACCGCATACAATTCCTTATGATAAGTCGAGTATTGTTATTTGGCATCATTTAATTTTTATTGAAATAACCAACAGGGTGGCATTCCTAGCTTAGGAAACCACCTATTTCTACTCGGAGGCATCACATTCTACCTCAAAAACTTTGGAGAAGTCAAGAAGGCACATGATTGGAGCTTCTATTATTCGCTTTTTAACCAATTTAAATGCTTTGACCGCTTCTTATGTCCAATGAAATTCTTCTCTCTTCATGTACTCTATTATAGGAGTCATGATCGTGTTAAACCCTTAAATGAAATCGATGATAAATTGTAACTAAACTATGAAAACTCCTAATGTCATGTATACTTGCCAACAACAATGGTTTGAATCTTTACAGGCCAATAGACACTCCCATAGCAAAGACAATAAATCATGGGAAGACTTTACCAGTGAATAGAGAACTTTTCTTCACATTAGCGTACTAGCTTGTTACATGAAGGATAGAACAAATCTGTGTGAGATGATTTCGATGTTATTTCCTAATTTTACTGTACACGATACTGTCGTCAAAGCATAACAGCTAAAAAATGGGGTGAGGGGGCTTAGGGAATCTCCAATCCATCCTCATCGTACCAAAATTCACCGAATTGTAGAATCTCTAATCGTCGCATCATTTTACACCAAAATGGTTAAATATATTTTTGTCATTCTTTTCACTTTGCGCAAAATTTTGTTCAGGTATTTGTGTTCATTATTATTATTATTATTATTATTATTATTATTATTATTATTATTATTATGTGTATTTGCAATAAATTTTAATCATGTAATCAATAATAATAAAGGAAATAATTAAAATAAAAATACTCAAAAAGTTTTAAAATATAATAAAACACAATCAATTTCAAGAATTCCTTTCTCGTCATAGATAAATCAAGGATAAAAAGGCTCACATTGGACTTCAAAATACATTAACTGATCATTTGTGATATGAATATACGAATTTCAAGAATTAAATTAAAACACTAATTCCACTTCGTAATATTATGATATCGAGATTCAAAATGTATTGCATTATTTTTTCAAAATTTATTAACGAATTAATATTTTTGTTAATTTAACGTAATTATTTATTTAGTAATATATATAATTTTTCAAGTAAATAAATTGTTAAGAATGATTTTGGCAAAACTTACCTCAAATTTTGATATTGGAGATGGCTTTATAAGTCATTTCAATTTTTTATTTCTTCATTTCATATCTATCTCTTGTTTGGTTAAAAATAGAGTAAAATAATATTTTCTTGTATACTATTTGAATATATATACAAAAATTATAGGTTTGAGGATAAAAAATAGGAGGAGGAGGTTTTGAATTGGAAATTCGATACACTTGTAATGATTGAAACAACTAAAAAGACAAAATTATTGTGTGGTCGTAGAGGCACTAGAATTAGAAGCGGCGCAGACGTGAATTTCTTCAACTCCAAGAATTTCATCCTCAACCCTAAAACCAAAACCCCTTACCCCACCAACCCTTTACAAATTCCAAACTCGTTCCATGTGTACTTTATCTTACCACACCAACGCAATGTCCAACGTAACACAATCATAACCTCAAATGAAACAAACATAAACAAACAAACAATCCTAAAAAAATCCATAAAGAAACCCTAATCAAAGCACCCATAATTTCCAATGGAAATTTGATTTACTACCCCATTCGATTTCTTGCTTTTTCCATACACTAATAAATACCTGTAGTACAAAAATGGACTCAAGGCTTCATGGTGTCCCTCTTTCCACTACACAAATGGCCCCAAAGATCCCCGTTTCCAGTTCATTATCAGGTATTAGAGCTCCCCTCACAATGGATGATTCTGACTTTGAATATTCTACTTCAGCCAAAAGTCATAAAAATAGTTCTGTTAGTAGTTATAATAGTGGGAGTGAGACGGAGTATGAGGAATTCGTGATTGGTGAAGACGAGTTTGAAAGTGCATCTGAGAGGCATTTTGGGACGGACCCGGATGAGGTAGTTCGTGAAGAAACGTATTTTGTTAACGAGTATGAGTTTTCAAGACCTGTTGTGAAGAGCCCAGGTGAAGAAATTGTTCGAAGTAGTGATGTTAGTGATTATACTTTTTCTAGGCTTTTTGTGAAGAACCCGGATGGTGAAATTGTTCGAGGAAGTGATGATTTTAATGAATTTGCATTTAGTAGGCCTTTTGTGAAAATCGCAGATGAAGAAGTCATTGAAGAAAGGAATAGTGGTAATGAATATGATGATTACAGGCCTTTTGTGAAAAGCTCAGATGATGAAATCATTGAAGAAATGATTAGTGTTAACGAGTTTGATGATTATAAGTCTTTATTGAATGATAGAGATAAAGCGATTATGAAAGATAAGGTGAATGTTGCGGTACATGGTGATTCTATTTCATCATTCTCTGTGGTTAACACTGATGAAGACATTCTGGAGAATGACCCAACACCTGTTGTGGATATCGGGATCTCAGTGCTGCCAAAAATGGTCATGCCAATTGCCCTGGTATCTGGAGACAGTGACGATGATTCTCCGCACAGTGAGGCAATGGAAGATGATGTTTTTTCTGCAGTTATTAGGGTCCCAAGTGCTGAAATGCTGCAGAGAGTGGACGGTGCCCCAAAAGTTAGAATCTTAGATGTCGAAGAAGAGGAATCTGATGAGTCAGAGTCTCACTATTTGGTAGAACCTGAGATTGTCGAGGATTTGGCTCCTAAAAACGTTTTAAATGGTGTTTCAAGCTCTAAATATGAAGAGGAAACCGATGAGTCACAATCTCACCGCGTGGTAGAACCTGAGTTTCTCGAGGACTTGGATCCCAACAACATTTCAAATGGTGTTTCAAGTTCTAATTATGAAGATGAGGGTGATAAGTCAAAACCTCACGAAGCAGTAAAACCTGAGTTCGTCGAGTACTCAGCTTCCAACAACATTTTAAATGGTTTTTCGAATTCTAAAGATGAAGGATGTCGCTTTTGGGAGGACACTGTTCATAAGGGTGCCGATTCTATTGAAGAAGGAAAAAGCAGGTCTTTTTTGGAGAGTAAAGAATGTAATTCTTCGAAAGAATCGTCCGACAAAGATGCGATGCAATTAAATGAAGAAATTTATTCAATTGATGAGAAAAAGTGTGTGAATTCGGATCATAGTAGAATGTCCAACGATCTTACGAGTTGTGGAAATGAGGAAACGAAAGATGTTGAGTCACTGGGAACTAATGCTTTTCATACCTTGGAAGTAGATCGGACTCTTCCTCATGAAACAATGAGTTTGCTGGACATGGACGAGGTTGTTTCCTTGGATGATGGGAGCTGTAAAAACAGTAATATTGACGTTGCAAAAAATGTTGTCCTCACCCGAAGTGATGCTACTGAAAGTAGATGCAAGCAAAACGTTAATTGGACCATGGCATCTCGTGACTACATCACTCCCAGAAAAAATGAATCAGCTAATGATGCAGCTGTGATCGATGAACTGCTGACAGCTAGGGAGCTTGTATCTTCCTTTCATGGCCATTCAGTTTATTTCAGTCGAGGTGGTGCAATAGATGATGAATCAGTTGTCTCAGATAGTCCTGATACACACGTGTCCCTCAGTTCCAGTTTAGAGCGACAGATAAAACATGAAGGGGACAATGGCGCAATTGAGTTTCTAGGGGAGGTTGACAATTCACTTTTGCGTGATGAGAATAAACGAGCTGTAGTCACAGAACATAGATTACCTTCTACTTCGGTTGCTGGTGGACGGAGTTCCAGAGATCAATCAGAGGAGATCGATCGACAGGTCATGACGGTTTCGGATGAAGAGGTAAACTCTGATAGAGAAATTGATGGGAGACAAATTCTTGATTCTGCTGGACTGGCTGCAGTTTTGAAGGCAGGCACAGGTGCTTCATCAGACAGTGGCAGCATAAATTTCTCGTCTGTTGATGGAACCGAGGTTTTCTCTTTGGAGCGTCCTGCTAATCTAGAGGACTTCATATTGGATTCTCGGAAAAATAATAATCAACTGAGCAATCACAGTTTTTTGAGGCATTCCGAGGCCACAATGGGCAGTGATTCCGAGGAATCTCCAATTGAAGAAGAGATGGAAAAGATTGAGAAACTACAACTGATGAGAGAGAGATATTTGCGACTTGTCCATAGATTGGGTCGGTCTCCTGATGATCGTGTTGTTGCACAGGTTCTGAATCAGCTAGCGCTTGCTGCAGGAAGGCCTTCTGCTCAAGGATTCAGTCTTGAATGTGCTAAAGCAAGAGCTGTAGAGCTTGAACAACAGATTGAGAGTCATCTGAGTTTTTCTTTGAATATCCTGGTTATTGGTAAAACTGGAGTTGGTAAGAGTGCAACCATAAATTCAATTTTTGGAGAGAAGAAAGTGTTGATTGATGCATTTGAGCCTGCGACGATGGATGTGAAAGAAATTATAGGCTCGTTAAACGGAGTTAAAATCCGCATCTTGGACACCCCCGGTCTCAGAACTTCTTTCACAGAGCAATCTATCAACCGGAGAATTTTATTGTCGATTAAGAAATTCATGAGGAAATGCCCACCGGATGTTGTCCTCTACGTTGACCGAGTAGATGCCCAAACCAGAGATCTTACTGATTTGCCCATATTGAAGTCTATCACTACCTATCTCGGCTCATCAATATGGCATAATGTCATTATTGCTCTGACACATGCAGCTTCAACTCTTCCAGATGGACCCTCCGGAAATCCCTTAAGTTACGATGCATTTGTTGCTCAACAATCACGGGTTGTTCAACAACTTATTAATCATTCAGCTGGTGATATGCATGTGATGAAGCCAGTTGCTTTTGTTGAAAATCACCATTCTGTCGAAAAGAACAAAGATGGAGAAACAATGCTCCCCAACGGAGAAATTTGGAGATCACAGCTTCTACTTTTATGTTACTCTATGAAGATTTTATCAGAAGTAAATTCTGTGATAAAGAATCACGATCCTTTGGATCATACAAACCTATTTGGTTTTCGGATCCGTTCTCCATCTCTCCCCTACTTTTTATCTTCATTACTGCAATCCAATGATCATCCAAAACTCTCAAATGGTGGTGAGAATGACTCAGACATAGAGCTGGAGTATTCATTTGATTCTGACAAAGATGATGATTATGACAAACTCCCTCTATTCAAGCCATTGAATAAATTTCAGTTTGCAAAGTTAAGCCGGGAGCAGAGGAAATCATACTTCGAAGAGTATGATTACCGTGTGAAACTACTTCAGAAGAAACAGTGGAGAGAAGAAATAAAACGGTTGAGGGACATGAAGAAGAAAGGAAAAGACGGTTTACTTGATCATGTTTTCATGGATGAAGATGTCAACGACGAAGCTGGAACTACAGCAGCTGTAGCAGTTCCCTTGCCGGATTTGGTACTCCCGCCCTCTTTTGATGGAGACAACCTGTCTTTTAGATACCGGTTCCTAGAATCATCGTCCCATCTTCTTACAAGGCCTGTAACACCAGTTTTCGACTCCCAAGGGTGGGAATGGGACCATCCCATTGGTAATGATCAAAGCTCAATAGGTCTCTCTCTAATGAGATGGAGAGGTGATCTCATCTGGGGATGCAACCTGCAATCTCAGCTCTCCATTTATCAGGATTCGAAGTTGAACGTTCAGGACCAGCTGAACAACAAGCTGAATGGACAGATCTCTGTTAGGATTAGCAGTTCAGAACAACTTCAAGTTGCTTTTCTGTCTCTCCTTCCAGTTGCCGAAGCCATATTCAGGAAAGTCTTTTCTCAGTCCATTGAAAATTAATCTGCGTAAAGCACATTTGGCTGTACTTAAAAGCTACTGTTTTTCTGAATGTAGAAGTTGAACATAAGCAAGGACACTGTTTCTTTTCCTTAAAATGTAATACTATGGGAACTTTCATCGAAAACTTATCCGCTGAAGCTCTTTCATTATCAATCATACTTCAAATTTTATTGTGATTTAGCTTGGGCTCCCGACATAGGCTCACGCTCAACTTTTTTCGAGCTGACATTAAGTTCGACTAGAAAATTAAGACGTGAACTTGAACTCAAGTTTCAAGCCCTCAACGAACTTTATCTGTTAACAAACAGATGAATGATACTGTAGCGAAAAAGGGAATAAGATTTTATTTCCAGTTCTTGGTTCAAGTAAATCCAGTCGACCAGGCAACTTTTAGTGATGGTTATATACTAATGCATGTGACAAAAACTACTAGCTCGCTCTCCCAGCAAAGTGAGAACAGAACTATAGTGAACCATTATGTTTGGATTCAGATCATTATTCATCAAAACAGATAGTCTGGCACTGCTTAAACAATAACTTGTAAAAATGAGCTGACATACAACACAAGGTAAAGAGGTAAAAATCTAAGCATTTGATTATGCCGCATGGCTAAGCAATGGATTATAATAAAGTTACAAATATTAGAGAATTACAAAATCATTCATCAGAGTGAGTGTAGCTCGGCACCAGAATCCTGAAGCGTTTGTTGCATCAAATCCGACCCCTCTTCGTCCTGAGCTTGTATTTGTATATCCTGCAGTTTGCAATGTAAATGTTAATTATAGTAGCACCTCGAGTAAAAAGATCAACAGCAAATGATGTTAAAAACCTCATAAATTGTAATGATACACAATGAGTTGGAGTAATAATGAAATACAATCACTAAAGCCATTGTATTCTGCCTAGCTGTGGGTAGGGTTAAGCATATCGACAACTACATTGCCTGTACACTGACGACTCGTTTGGTTAGTCAGGTTGCACAATACTGAATAGTATTAAATAAAAAAAGTTAAGATCATATTCTTATAATTTCCAGTTCTATATCAAACTGTACTAAACATGCTCTGAGAGATGTTAGCGGACTGAATTATGCACTTTGCACATCAGACTACAATGTGTTACAATTTGAGGCAATCACTGGAAAAACAGAGCTGTTGGAGCTAAATACAGAGAGATAATGACAATCAAGTCTAAACATGTTTTCGAAGCAAAAGCGGAATATCTGTCTTGATGAACACAGAGAGATTGAGCTGAAAATTGGTACAGGACACCATTTAAATTTAGTTTTCAACCTAACCATTTTAGCGTACGTTCGTTACACAGTATTGGGAAGGAATGAACAATATAGTAACGCAGATTCTAGCTTCTTTTTCTTTCTTAATACTATCCAGTGCCTCCTTACCAAACATGCATATTTTGTACAAGGGTAGAAATGGTACTGAAAAGAATGTTGCAGAACATATTCACCATCAGAGATTGTTATTCTAGTGTATCCCTCGAGCTCAAAACCCTAAGAAATGCCACAGGTGTAGAGGCAAACTTCATTGAACACTATGTTATCCCACATTTTTTCTAAAGTAAAAGGCCGAAATGATCAATACCTGTGTTTGTAATAGCTGATTTGATTGTTGATCTTGTGGCAATGGATAGGCCTGTGGTTGAGACAACCGATAATAGGGCTCTTTGAGATCAAGTTTTCCGGATGACGTCTGGAGTATTCCTCCTTGCTCAGCACCAGGGCCCCACATTTTAGCTATTCAGATAAATGACTAGTTGGTTTAAGGAAACCAAGCAGGGAAGCAAAAGGAAAGGAACTAAAAGCAAAATCCAGGATTTGTTGCGTGAATAGCACAAGAGCGATAAAAACTGACCTGACAATGTTAGGTGAAGGGTGTAACTCTGAGCTTTATGGGAAACCATATGGAGTCGACCAACTATTTCTTGTCCAGGCATCACATAAATTGGTTGGGCGAGAACGCAACGCAGCTGGTACCAGTGTGTTGTAGGTGCACCAGGACCAGTGGTAAGCCACCGTTGCACAGTGCTGTTAGATGAATGAATTTATTATAACTAAGGCGAGTGGTAATCACACAATTTCATGGAGGGAAAACAGTGAGAAGTGTAAACATGTACAGCATCAAAAAATTACCTCCCATCAAACAATACATCAAACCAACAAGCCAAACCATGGACTCTGGTGCCCACAGTAGATACAAATTTCAATGGGATGTCAATTTCATACAAATCTTCTTCCTGAAAAAGGAAAAATAGATGAATTTATATAAATTACATTAGTCTTAAAAGGTTGAGAAGCTTACTGCATGCGTGACACAAAATAGAAGACAAGGGTAAAAAAATCAACTGTTATTGCTTTACTGAATGTATCATTCTTTAAGGAAATGATAATCTTAAAGATTACAATTTCATAAAAAATTGCATATTAAACTCCTATCACAATATTCCCAGAAATGGAATCAGAAGAGGAATAAAGCACTAGAGTTTCCAAACGTGTATACCCTCTGGTTAGCATGCCCCATTACACTATCCCCAGACATGAACACACATCAACCACATTCAAATGCAGATCCAAGGAACCTTCACCCCCAATGATTGAATTTGCTTCCAGCCAAAAGATTCCAAATGTTTCAAATCCTAGGAACAAGGAAGTCTAACGCGCATACCTTATATGGTCTAGCGAGCTTAGTTTGGAAACTTAAAACAAATCAATTCCACTTGACCCATTCTCTCAACTGAGCTAGTCTCTAGTTCATCACCAGACACTTCAAAGAATGGAGCCACTAAAATTACCAGCATATGATTAATTGGGCGCTTCCAAGATTTTTTCTCTTCTGCTGGGCAGATGAGAGGGGAAATGAAGGGAAGTTTTCACACAAAACATAGATACTTATCGTAGAAACCTTTGAATAAAACTCAATGACCCTTGAAACTGTAGTCTAATGTGTCATGCAATCCAACAACTATGGACAATTTATGTGGAAGCGAGACCAAATAATGACAAGACACTCATCAAATTTCCGTGACCATGTTTCGGAATTCAAATTTGAGGGGATTTAACTTTGTAGTTCTTTGTAGCAGCTGAGAACATAGTAACTTAAATTTGTTGCCCAAATTGTACAGGTTTTCAAAAAGGTCTAATTTTCGAACTCCACAAAGATATGAGAGAATCTGAGGACGGTATCTGACCTTTCTCCAGCAGTACTCAAGAGTTAACATACAATTGGAATGCAGTTTATAAGAATGTGGAAATCTTTCTGTAGACTTTCAAGTTTCAAGTTGCATGTATAATCACCAGATATATAACTTAATTAAAAACATTAACCTTTGTAGAAGTGAAGTCTATCACATGGGAGACCGCAGGAGCCACCAATAGCCTAGGATCAAAAGCATCCACCACTGGCTGCAAGGTGCATAGAGGAAGAAATAGATTGTGAGAGGCAGCATACAATAGTATCAAGTTTATTAAACAACAGCATGGTGATACAAATAGAATTATTTATTGATGATCCATATATTTCATGTTCTTGCTCAACTGCTTTTCAAATTCGTGATGATAAATGGTCATCAAAGAACCATTATTCTTTTCCACAAGTTAAACAATATTTCCAGAGACTGATAATAGTAGATACATGGCTATAATTCTTACAGCTGCTATTTAAAAATTAAAACTATTTTTAGCAATGATCCAGGCTTGTACAGTTAAGATGTATATTTCATCACATCCTTGTCAACCTATATTAGGCTTCAGCTATCATATTTATGAGCCATAACGGCGAAATGTAGTTTTAAGGGGAAAAAAAATGGCATCATGTCAATGTTTTTCCACAAACAACATGCTAACCATGGGAAGTACACAGTCACCAACTCTTTAAAAATAATTTGCAATTATCCCTTTGGCTTGAAATAAAGGATTCTATTGAAACACAAGGAATATTCATTCTAAATTAAGGGTGGACTTTATTTCTCATATCAAACAAGTATTTTACGAAGTTCTCATAATATTAAATTGAGGATGACAAAGCCAATTTCTCCGAAAGATAAACACTAGAAACTTTTAATGTTGGAAGAATTTGCTACATATGACATCTGTCTGTGCATATCCTTTTTATGGTTTCATGATTGGTGGCCAGACTAGTTGACACAGACTTTTAGATCAAAAAGGCAACGCCAAATAACTATACCTCCAATCAGAACAGTTATGCAAGAAGAGATTTCTGTAGAACCATCTCTTAGCCCTGGTTTGAGCCCCAATTTTTGGGATAAATAGATTTTGTAATAGTGATTTTTTGAAGAATGTGTGACTAAAAAGTGGAAAACGCTTTGAATTTACTTGTAATGTAAATTTATGGGATTGAAGAAAAATGAGTTTTTGAAAAATGGGGCTCAAACAGGGGCTTAATGTTTATAGTGCAAAATTACTTGAGAAGTTGATCATAATTCATGCTCTAGATGAAACAATATTTTAAAGAACGATAAATGCGGGGAATTTTATGCAGGTTTGATCTACCACAGAACATATGACAAATATTTAAGCAATGTCTTTGAAACCAAACTGCATAGCTTTGTAGAGACCTACAGTATTTATAGGAAAACGAGGCAATAAGCATACACAAACAATTAGCATTGCCGCTAGAAAACTACAAATACATTTGAGATGTAGATAAGAGAGACCTGTGAAAAGTATCCTTGGAATGCAGTACTTTGCAGAGGAGCCAAATTAACACCGTAATAATTTTGTTGCTGCCAAAACAAAGCCTGGATGGAAATAACAAATTTTAGATCCCCATTTTTTCAACAGAAAAAATGCAATATGAAGGGAATAATTTGGGTTACAAAACAACAACATGCTCTCAAGACAATTCAAACTTGTGTGCATATAGAAATCTCCCCAAAATTGTCGCCCCATTCATTGAGCAATTTAATAAGAAATCCATGCACGAGGACCAATCCCTCCCCAAAGGAAAAAAAAAAAAAAAAAAAAAAAAAAATTAAGTTATCATTTTCAGAAGCAAAAATTTGTTCTTACCTTATTCGCAATTTCCATGTATAGATACTCATCGCTAAATGGTGCCATATGTATTCTGCAAGAGCAAGCAAGTACAAATATCAGGCACAAGAAAAGAACAAATTACAAT